GACAGTTAAGAGCCGAGGGGTCTTGCAGAAAAGCCTGGCACTGATTTCCATCCCCATCTCTCCGGGTGCAGGAGGGAGATGACAAAATTGAATACCGTGCCTGGAACCCCTTCCGTTCCAAGCTGGCAGCTGCGATCCTGGGCGGGGTGGACCAGATCCACATCAAGCCAGGGGCCAAGGTGCTCTACCTCGGGGCTGCCTCGGGCACCACCGTCTCCCACGTCTCTGATATCGTCGGCCCGGTGAGTAGACGGAGGGACAGGAAGAGGTGGGAGGGAGGGAAAGGGACGCAGAGGCCCTGGCTGCCTCCCTGCACTGAGCGGCTTGGATCAGGAAGGGCCTGGTCACCATGCCTGTGCATGAAAGGAGCGCTTGAACCACATGGTCTCCAGAGCTCCATTCAGCAGCGCTTGAACCACATGGTCTCCAGAGCTCCATTCAGCCTCACACCTGAGTTCTTGGCCTGGAGCGAAGGGGCTTGGGTGTTGGGGTAACCAGTGTTGGGGGGGCCAGAGCCGAGAGTACATTTGATTTGATTGCTACCCCTCTGGGACTTTCCTGGTTAAGCGTGGTTAAGACTCCACACTTCCACTGCAGAGGGTACAGGTTCCATCCCTAGTTATGGAACTAAGATCCTGCATGCCATGTGGTGCAGCCAAAAAAAAGATACCCCTCAAATCTGGGCTTCTGGTTTCTCTAAACAGGAGATTGTCAGTTTGGGGGCCTATGCTTCTGTGCGGCTGGACAGCCTCCCTGTTGAGAGGGCACCCAGACATCTCACTTCATGATTCCTTACTCGGCTATGAGGCTAGAGGGTGTGTAATTTAATGGTTAAAAACCCCAGACTCTGGTGCAGGCTCTTAACAGTGAAGTGGCTTTTAGCAGGTACTTACTCTCTCTGAGCCTCAGTGTGCCCCTCTGGAAAATGGGTGATTGTGATGATAAATGAATTAAATCCTGTAACGTGCCTAGAGCAGTGTCTGGCCCAGTGCAGGTATTCTTAGCTGTTTTGTCACCTCTATGCCCTAGCTTTCTCATTTTAAGCCTGAACTGGGGGCCTGGGCTCTTAGATCAGACAAAGTAGGATGGAATAACCTCCGACCTATTCATCTGTAAAATGATAACAAGGGCTTCCCAGGTGCTTCTAGTGGTAAAGAGCTCACCTGCCAATGCAGGAGATGCAAGAGACATGTGTTCAATCCCTGGGTTGGAAAGATCCTCCAGAAGGGCATGGCAACCCACTCCAGTATTGCCTGGAGAATCCCATGGAGAGAGGAGTCTGGCAGGCTACAGTCAGTGGGGTTGCAAAGAGTCAGACAGGACTCAAGCGACTTAGTATGCACACACACATCATGATAACAGGTCATTAAATGGTAATGTTTTGATTTGGGGATTTGAAGAGCTGCATGTGGTATATGGGCCAGAGTAGGCACTCCATACAGGAGAACTAGTTATCATTGTTATTTTTGTTTGACTTTGATGTCTTCTAGGACGGTCTGGTCTATGCAGTTGAGTTCTCCCACCGTTCTGGCCGTGACCTCATTAACTTGGCCAAGAAGCGGACCAACATTATTCCTGTCATTGAAGATGCTCGGCACCCGCACAAATACCGCATGCTCATCGGTGAGGGGTCTAGGGTTGGCTTGGGAGAGGGGAAGGTGTGAGACAGGCCACTCCAGGTGTCCTCAAGGAGGCCCCCGGAGCCCTGATTTGGATGGAATTGGAGTGGATGAACAGGTTGAGTCTGCAGAAATGCAAGTGGTCTGGGGAGCCAGGTGAGGTGGAGGTGGTGGTCCCGCTTCAGGGACCCAGATATCTGGGTCCTTGGGCCAACCTCTTTCCCTCTAATCTGACATTCCTACCTCCCACCGAGTACTTCCTGCCTGCCTGGCTCCAAAACCCAGTATCTTTTATGCTACCCCTCACTTAGGCATAAAAACCTTCTTCAGAGGTCCTCATCAGCATCATCTGGTGAGATCATAACCCAGAAAGCACACCTAGAGGGACCCATTGTGAATATTAATAACTTTGGTTTTTTAAAAAAAGTTCAGAAACATAGTATAAAAATTGAGCACCTGTAAAGTACCCCCAGAGGTAACTGATCTGAACAATTTGATGTCGGCTTTTCCTGATTTTAAAGTCGTCATTGCACCATCTTTTCATTTTTTTAAGTTTTTCTTCCTGAGTTTTTTTTCCTTGTGCATTCATACCCTACCTCTGTCCTGCAACTTGTTTTCATTTCACAATCCTGCAGACGCGATTGCCTGTAAGTGCTCGCCTTTACTTGCCTTTTTGATGACGTGTCTGTCTCCCCCCCAGACCCGGGAGCGTCTCGAGGGCAGGGTCCGGGTCTGACTCGTCTCTGTGCCCCCCACGCCCGGCCCGGGGCTGGCCACAGAGTAGGTGGCAATATGGTTTACAAGAGGAATGAAGGATTGGTGTAACTGTGGGCTTTGGACCCATCTTGGGGGCACTGTGGAGGGTGGGGGATCATTGCGGGGGGAGGTGAGACTGGTGGCAGGGAAGACTGCCAGGAACCTGCTGGTGTTGGGGCTCAGGCCCCATGGGAGGAACTGGGAAAATTAAGTGGGTCTAGCTTTTAACCGCTACTTCTTTCTCCCTAGCAATGGTGGATGTGATCTTTGCTGACGTGGCCCAGCCAGACCAGACCCGGATTGTAGCTCTGAATGCCCACACCTTCCTGCGTAACGGAGGACACTTTGTGATTTCCATTAAGGTGTGGAGCTTGGAGGAGTCTATGGGGTGGCGATATCTTCTTGGTTTGTAACTACCAAGCAGTTGGTCAAAACAACCCTGATTAAGTGTATTCTCAGCTCCCTATAAGCTACCCAATTGAATAGAACATAATGAAAAATGTCTACAAAACTGAAAACCATAGAATTTAAGGAGGCAATAGACTATAGTGGTTGAGTGCATGAACCATAGAATTTAAGGAGGCAATAGACTATAGTGGTTGAGTGCATGATCACTGAGTCTGAGTATCTGAGTTTGGATTCCAGCTTGCTGTGTCTTTGGCAAGTTACCTATCCTATATTGCCTGTTTCTTCACTTGTAAAATAGCAATATTAGTCCTCTTTTAGTGTTGATGTAAGGACTACACTTCTCAGTATATGTGGAATGTTTAGAACAGAACCTGGTATAAAATAAACAACAGATAAATGCTAGGTGCATCTTTAAAAAGTCTTTTGAAATTCAGAGGCGTGTCCAGTACTTCAACCAGATTTCCCATTCTCTTTTGCTGCGTTTGTTTTTGGAATTCTCAGCTGCATAATTCCTAAAGAAAAGGAAGAAGGAGGGGAAAAAAATGTAAAATTTAAACACTAGCTTTTAGATAAATAGGGTTCTGTTGAAGGATTTCTGTTCCAAATCCAAAACAAATCGAAAACTTCTCTAACAAAGTCTTTCCGTACATTTCCAAAGCCTAGTCTCCAATAAAAACAAATTCTGCTGGTTTAAAGAAGCACAAAAAGGGGGGAATATCCCAAGCTTGCCTCAGACTTCAAATCCTCTCTTTTGCAGGCTAATTGCATTGACTCCACAGCCTCCGCCGAGGCCGTCTTTGCCTCTGAAGTGAAAAAGATGCAGCAAGAGAACATGAAGCCCCAGGAGCAGCTGACCCTAGAGCCGTACGAAAGAGACCACGCTGTGGTCGTGGGTGTGTACAGGTGAGCACGAGGCCCCATCAGTACTTGTTACGAGTGCTCCAAAGTGGTGACGGGCTCTTCTAAGTCCACTTTCTTCTCTCAGGCCACCTCCCAAAGTGAAGAACTGAAGCCCAGCGCCATCTGGATCACCAGAGAGTGTGTTGCTACTGTTACACGTTTGTTTTTCTATTAAAAGACTCATCAGTCGCTCCGTTTGCCGCTGATTGCTTGACGACGTCTATTTACAGGGCGCTTGCCCGCTCGGTCCACCGGTGTTGTGGTGGGGGCGAGCGCTCCCACCCGGTCGCACTGCGCACGCTCCTCTCTCAGCTGCCTCCTGCTCAGCCGTAACTTGTACTTCGGCGCTTGGGCGTGGTCGGTAGCTCACTGCGCATGTGTCCCAGTAAGGTCCTCTGAGCGCAGCCGCGGAGCGCTGCCCTGGGTCACGTGAGGGGAAACAGCTTGGGGGTGGGGGCGGAGTCCGGGGCGGGGGGGCTGGTTTGTTGTGGTCGCCATTTTGCTGGTTGCATTACTGGGTAATCGGGGCCCTGGCTCGCCGCGCTCGCCGGATAGCTTCAGCCTGTGGGCAGGACTGAGCTCGGGCTTCCCGAGCAGCTTGAGTTCCCTTGCCCGCGCCCTCAGGTAAGGACGCGGCTCCGCGGGGTCAGCACGCGCTCTCGGCGAGGGAGGGTAGTCTGGGACCCGCCCTGCCTGCGTCGCCGCGAGATTTAGCACGAGGCCGAAGGAGGAGAGAAGGGGGGCGGCGGGCAGGTGCAGGCCTTGCCTGGCTATTCATAGTCGGATTCCTGGAAGGGGCCGAGCCGGAGGGAGCAGTCTTAGGAGGGGGTAGCGGGGCCTCGCTCCCGCCCTTTGTTTGGGCTCGGCTCCGCCGGCCGCATCGTCGTCGCCTAGCAACCGCTGTCCTGCGCTGTGATTGGTTGGTCTCTTGGCAGCAACGACCAATGGCACGGTTGTTGCCATGGTAGGTGTGGACTGCCAAGTTCGGTCCGGCCCCGCCCGCCTGGGCTCCTCTGGCCGGGGCTGGCCTCCAGGGTCGGGGGCGGGACGCCGGGGTCCCCTGGGGCGGGTGGCTACGCTGGGCGGGGCCGGCGGGGCGAGGGTTAACCCGCCCCTCCCCCGTCCACCTGCTTTCCCCTTCCCCCGCGTGCCCCGGGCTGACCCTAGTTTCCTTCTCCCCGCCCCTGGCGGCGGCGGCTGCTGCCTGCTGTTGTCACCCACCGGGCCGCCTGTCCCGCTTGCCCTCCCCGCCGCGGGGCTTGCCGGGCCGGCCGGGCCGGGACAGGCGGCTGTCTCCTCACCACAGCCACCACCGCCATGCTGGCCGCTCGCCCACCCAACTGGGGGCCCCATCGCGCTCCAGCCCCCCGTGGGCGCGCCAGCCCTGACCCGGGTATGGGGTGGAGGCTGGGAGAGAGGGTCCTGTTGTGGGAGGGCCCCGGGGCAGAGATTGTTTAGTGGGGAAGCTCCAAGAGAGAGGAGGGATCGTGGAGTGGCAGAGCTTGGCATGGGAGAAAAGATTGACGGGGAGAAGGCCCGGGGGGAGAGGAGTTTGGTGTGGAAGATACTCTTGAAGGGGAGAACTCTGTGATATTTGGCGATTTTGGCTCCAGGGGACTTCTAGGAATGGGCACAGCTGTGGATTGACCCTGGTGTGAAGGAGTAACTAGAGAAAGGGCCCTGAGAGGAATATTGGTTAGGGAGGGTGGGGGTAGGATCCATGGTAGGGGAGAGAAGGACGATCCACTCTAAACCGCGGGCAGAAACGCCTCCCCCTTGCTTCCCAAAGGAGTGGCCCCAGTGGGGGAGGAGGGAGCCGCTTGGAGTATTGTGGAGAAGGGCCTTGGTGTGGCACGCGGGACTTGGAGTATGGTTTGGGAAATTACTGGAAGGATGGTCCCTGATGTGGGAGGAAATGATAGGAAGAGGCCTTGGCACCGCATGGGGAGGGTCCTCTGAGGGTGTGCCCAGTGGGGGAGAATGCCGTGGGGTTAGGACTCTGTTATAAAGGGGTCCTCAGGTAACCTTGGTGTGGTTGGGAGCTCCCTGAGGACCCTGATGTGCTTTTAGGGGCCTGCAGAGGAGTCTGCTCTGATTTGGAGGGGGCTGGAAGACTCCCTTGTGGTTTGGGAGGGAGCCTAGAGTTCTCTGGATTGGGGACCTACTGAGAGGGGTAGACCTTGAAGTGGAGGGACTGTCGTGTGGTAAGACAAGGTCCTGAGGTTCAGAGAAGACTACGGGAGGGGCCCTGAGGAGAGCCATAAGTAGCAGTGGGGAGGAAAGCATGGACCCAACTCCCTATGCTGTCTGTGGTGTCTCTCTTCTCTTCCTCCCCCCAATTATTCATGTCTTTCTGTCCTTTCCTGTCACGGCTCACATCCCTGCCTGGCTCCCAATTGTTCCCTTTCCCGGGTTCCTCTCCGCGTGCCGCCTACTTCATGTATTTGGTAATCATTTTGCTGGGGGGCTCTGCTGTGCCCCCCCACCCCACCACCCTTTCTGTCCGCTCCTCACTGCCACCTGTTGATCTCTTGTACCCTTTTCTCCTTGCTCTGTGCCCCGCCTTCTCTCTGTTGTCCACCTCTTTCTCGCTTGGCACTGGCCAACATATCCCCTTGTTCCGTGTCCCCCCCCACCCTGCCCCCTCTCAGGTCTCAGCGGCGGTGGCAGCCGAGGTGCAGGATGCGAGAAGGCGCCCCCCGGCCGGGCTCCCGCTCCAGGCCTCGCTCCCCTGCGGCCCTCTGAGCCCACCATGGCTGTCCCACCAGGCCATGGTCCCTTCTCTGGCTTCCCGGGGCCCCAGGAGCACACGCAGGTACGCGTTCAGCTGGCCCTCACCTGCTTGGGGAAGGGGGAGGCTGGGATAGAAGGGTCTTGGGGCCAAAAAAGATGATGTGGTTGCCCGGGACAGTCTGCTGGGCGTGAAGGGCGCCATGGGAGTGGAAGATAGAGAGGAGTCGCTGGAAGAGTCAGGATTTGGAGAGCCTGGGTTTCCACCCAGGCACGGTGGTTATATTTCCTTAGGTTCCCCATGTTTCAGTTCCCTGTTCTGTCAAATGGGACCTGATACCTACCTCACAGGGTTGTTGTGAGGATTAAACAGGTTCATGAAATGCATTTGGAAATGGCTGAGAACAGTGCCGGGCACATAGTAAACACTCAATAAATATTCATTAAGAAAAAAAAAATCCAAAGTGAAAGATCTGGAGGGGTTAAAAGGGAAGAAGCTTGAGCCTGAAGGATTTTGGAGCCAGCAGGGCCTGGGGGTGCAGGGTTAAGACCTTCAAGGGAAGACTGAAGACCCTGAACTGTAGAGCTTGAAACAGGATGGAGTAGGAGGATCCAGGCTCCTCGGGGTGAAAAACTGGGCAGAGAGGCACAGGACAGGGGTGCAGGGTGGGGGTGGGAAGGCCCCAAAGGGTGAGGATAAGGCACAATAGGGAGCCCTTTCGGGAGGGATTCCCAGGACGGATGGTCTCCAGTGAAGGATAGGGAGGGTCAGGGCCGAGGTTTTCGACCTCTCCCACTGAGGTTTAGAAAAGAATCAAGGTGTGTGATGAAAGGTCAGGGGTAAATCATTGACTTCTTGATTCACTCAGCAAATTTCTCATGAATACCCACTATGTGCAAGGTCCCTGCTCCTGGCTTGGGAGAGGAAGCAAGAACAAGATAAAGTCTCTGTCCTTTGGGAGTTGTTCTAGTGGGGTTGTCAGACAGTGACCAGATAAATAACCCATGTGGTAATGGTGAGCCAGCAGCCCCCAGAGTTCGCCCCCTCGAGATAGGGGTGGAGGCCCTCCCTCAGGGCCCAGTGACCGGTCACCCTGCCTGTCCCCAGGTGCTGCCGGAAGTACGGCTCCTGCCACGGAGGCTGCCCCTGGCCTTCCGAGACGCGACCTCGGCCCCGCTGCGTAAGCTCTCCGTGGACCTCATCAAGACCTACAAGCACATCAATGAGGTGGGCAGAGAAGCAGGGATACAGGGTGGGCGCAGAGGGGTCCTGACAACCTGTCACTCACCATTCCCCGTCTCCCGGCCGGCCGGGCAGGTGTACTATGCGAAGAAGAAGCGGCGGGCCCAGCAGGCGCCACCTCAGGACTCGAGCACCAAGAAGGAGAAAAAGGTCCTGAACCACGGTTATGACGATGACAACCACGACTACATCGTGCGCAGCGGCGAGCGCTGGCTGGAGCGCTATGAGATTGACTCGCTCATTGGCAAAGGCTCCTTTGGCCAGGTGCGGGGTGCTCCTCACCCGACCCTGATCCAGGGCTTGGGAGGTACGGGCACCCACTGGTATTGACCCCCACAGCCAGTGGGTTCAGTGGCTTCAAGCTCCGTGCTGGCCACTTGTCCCAGCGCAGTCATTTGGTTACCTGTGCCTCAGTTTCCTTTGCTATAAAATAGTGCGAACAACAGGACTCCCCACATGAGGTTGTGTCCCGTGTTTACACTAGTGTCTGACTGTTGGTGAGCACTCCAGGTTTGAACGAGTAGTGTTACTGGCGGTGATAGCGGTGGGTGTCCTTGCTGGAGAGAGGGGTGGTCCCTGGCTCTGTTCCCTGTGCCCCCGTTCCCTCACTTCGTGACGGGCTTGTGATCACAGGTGGTGAAGGCCTATGACCATCAGACCCAGGAGCTGGTGGCCATTAAGATCATCAAGAACAAGAAAGCCTTCCTGAACCAGGCCCAGATTGAGCTGCGGCTGCTGGAGCTGATGAACCAGCATGACACAGAGATGAAGTACTACATAGGTGAGGCCTGGGGCAGGGCTGCTCGGGATGCCCCCCACCCCCAGCAGGGGCTGGGGTCTTCAGGGCAGGGTTGCCACTTTCACAGTATCCTGTTCACATAAGAATGCTGGCCAGTTTACTGAGTGCTCACTAAGTGGTCAGGCTCTATTATTAAGAACTTAACACACATTAACTTGTTGAACCCTCATCACAGATTACCCACAGTTTGGAGATGAAAAAACAGAGGCAGTTAGGTGCCATCACTTGCAGCAGGTCACGGTGTTTGTGCTCAACAGAGCTATCATTTGACCAGGCAGTGACCTCCAGAGCCTTACTCTGTGTGCATCTTTGTCCACTTTCCTATACTGATTCCTCTTAGAAAAATCAAGCAGATTGAAGGAGTGTGTTTCTTTTAAAGGGAAGATACACATCCTTAGGTAAATGGAAAGCGAGTATACCCCTTGTCACAAAAATAAACAGAACTGAGACTAAAAACAGTGTTATAAAATGAAATGAGGACGTGTGGGATGGTGTTAAAAACCCATCTGCAGCACATAGAAACTTTCTCTTTGGCTTAATCACAAAGTCTGACAGATTTGAAAAGAGGTTAACTTCCTGTAAATGAAATTGTGGACATATGAAAACATTCTGATCAGTAGCCAGTAGAGAATCCCATGGACAGAGGAGCCTGGTGGGCTACAGTACACAGGGTCGCAAAGAGTCGGACACGACTGAAGCGACCTAGCAGGCATGCACCCAGCACGCAGAGCACACTCCAGTTAATCTGTGCTCGAGAAGCAGACAGATCCGACGCCAGCCTCTCTGTGTGACTGCGGGCCGCCGGCCCTCGCAGAGCCTCAGTTTCTTCTTGCTCGGCCCGTGTCCGCCCCCTTCCCGGCAGTGCACCTGAAGCGGCACTTCATGTTCCGGAACCACCTGTGCCTGGTGTTCGAGCTGCTCTCCTACAACCTGTACGACCTCCTGCGCAACACGCACTTCCGCGGCGTCTCGCTCAACCTGACGCGGAAGCTGGCGCAGCAGCTCTGCACGGCGCTGCTCTTCCTGGCCACGCCCGAGCTCAGCATCATTCACTGCGACCTCAAGCCCGAGAACATCCTGCTCTGCAACCCCAAGCGCAGTGCCATCAAGATCGTGGACTTCGGCAGCTCCTGCCAGCTCGGCCAGCGGGTGCGGCCCGGCCCCGGGGGCGGGGCTCGGTGTGGGTGTGGCCCGGCTGTGGGCGGGGCCGACTGGTGGCCTGGGTCCGCGGGGCGAGGCTAGGCTAGTCTAGGCGGGGATAGCCTTGTCACGTGCATCCTGAAGAGGCTGATACCAGAGCTACGGTGCTTGGGATGGGGCCCAGAGGGAGAGGGCCACCGGGTGTACAGCCTGAAGGGACAGGGCCAGTTTTGAGACTCCCAGATTGGGGAGGGGGTGGGTAGAGGGCTGGTTGGGTGCCTGGGAGCCTGAAAAGCTGTGGCGCTATACAAAGTTTTGTTTATTTTACCCTGTGCTCTTAAAACTGGCGATGGAAGGGGCGAGGCCCTTTAACTTTGCAGCTAAGAGATGCTGGTAGAGGTTTGAAAAGGGTCTAGTTTGGGAGGGTGGGAAGGGCCTAGGTTTGCTGGCTGCCAGCCTCTGGTGACCTAGAGGGGCTCAGGACCAGACTAGGCCAGCAGAGAGCCCTGAAGCCGATGAGTACGATAGTGGTGGTGATTCCAGGAAGCTGGTGCTGATAACATGAGGGTTTGGCGACCCCCGTCCCAAGTGTTGGGGGCTCGCCCTCAGTCGGCCCTCCTAGCTTTGGGGCTGTTCTCTTAGCAGAGGCTGGGACCTCTGATGGTTGCCCTCTCCCGTCCTCCAGATCTACCAGTACATCCAGAGCCGTTTCTACCGTTCGCCCGAGGTGCTCCTGGGCACTCCCTACGACCTGGCCATTGACATGTGGTCCCTGGGCTGCATCCTGGTGGAGATGCACACTGGAGAGCCCCTCTTCAGTGGCTCCAATGAGGTGTGCTCCTGAGGAGGGGGTGTGCTCCCGAGGAGGGGGTGGAGGCCCAGCCGGCCCAGTGACCCTGACGGCCCGCCTGCTCTCAGGTGGACCAGATGAACCGGATCGTGGAGGTGCTGGGCATCCCACCAGCCCCCATGCTGGACCAGGCGCCCAAGGCTCGAAAGTACTTCGAGCGGCTGCCTGGGGGAGGCTGGACCCTACGAAGGACAAAGGAACTCAGGAAGGTGCGGCCCCCGCCCCACGCCGCTCCTCCTACCCCGGCGGCCCCTCACTCCCTCACACTTGGGGCTCCCTCCTCCGTCCCCCTGCTTCCTCCCTGTGTCTTTCCCTGTCTGTCCTTTCCTTCCTCCCCCCCCCCCCCCACCCCCGTCTCCTACTACCCACCGCACAGCTCTTCTTAGCTTCTCTCTTTCCACTTTCTCTCTCGTGCCTCTGTTTGCCCGTGTGTGTCTCCCTGCCCCTCCTGCCCACTGACGGCCACTCTCTTGCCCCCCCTCCCACCTCCCCCTGCCAGGATTACCAGGGCCCCGGGACACGGCGGCTGCAGGAGGTGCTGGGCGTGCAGACGGGCGGGCCCGGGGGCCGGCGGGCGGGGGAGCCGGGCCACAGCCCCGCCGACTACCTCCGCTTCCAGGACCTGGTGCTGCGCATGCTGGAGTATGAGCCCGCCGCCCGCATCAGCCCGCTGGGGGCGCTGCAGCACGGCTTCTTCCGCCGCACGGCTGATGAGGCCACCAACACGGGCCCGGCGGGCAGCAGTGCCTCCACCTCGCCCGCACCCCTCGACACCTGCCCCTCCTCCAGCACCGCCAGCTCCATCTCCAGCTCCGGTGGGTGCTCAGTGCCGGACGAGGGGTCGGGTAGTTCTGATCGGCCGGTGTGTGGCAGGGGTTGGGGTGGGGGAATAGCTTTATCAGTGGGCCTTGGCCTAGAGCTTTGAAACGACGAGATCCTGAACTCCACAGTGGGTGGAGCAGGGGAGCTCAGACGATCCCTGAGCTTATCTCTGAGCTTGGGCTCAGATCGCTAAAACTTGTATTGACTCTTTGACACCCAACTGAACCCTGACCCCTAATCTCACTTGTGTCTGATCCTTTGAATGGGCCTGGGCCATGGACAAGACTCAGCCGCCTGAAGACCAGCACCCCACCACCCTCCCCCCTGCTTTCCTTGCTAAGGCCTCTCTTCTTCCTTGGCACTTCCAGGAGGCTCCAGTGGCTCCTCCAGTGACAACAGGACCTACCGCTATAGCAACCGATATTGTGGGGGCCCTGGGCCCCCCATCACTGACTGTGAGATGAATAGCCCCCAGGTAATGGGGTCTTGGGGACTTGGGAGGAGGGTGGTGGGCTGTCTGGGGCTTCAGAACCCAGGTCTCCATCACCCACCGTTGCTTTGCTCCTTTAGGTCCCGCCCTCCCAGCCGCTGCGCCCCTGGGCCGGGGGGGATGTGCCCCACAAGACACATCAGGCCCCTGCCTCTGCCTCGTCACTGCCGGGGGCTGGAGCCCAGTTACCCCCCCAACCCCGATGCCTTGGTCGTCCCCCATCACCAACCTCACCACCACCCCCGGAGCTGATGGATGTGAGCCTGGTGGGCGGGCCCCCAGACTGCTCCCCACCTCACCCGGCACCCGCCCCCCAGCACCCGGCTGCCTCAGCCCTCCGGACTCGGATGACGGGGGGCCGTCCACCCCTCCCACCCCCCGATGACCCTGCCACCCTGGGGCCTCGCTTGGGCCTCCGTGGTGTACCCCAGAGCACGGCAGCCAGCTCATGACCCTGCCCTCTCCCTGGGGCCCCTCCTGAAGCCATACCCCCCCATCCGGGGGCCCTGGGCTCCCATCCTCATCTCTCCCCTTGACTGGAATTGCTGCTACCCAGCCGGGGCGAGTGAGGCCTGCACTGATCGGGGCCTGGGGCAGGGGTTCAAGGAGAGGGGTTGAGGCTCACCTCCCCACTAAGGACTGGACCCTTGGCCCCCTCTTTCCCCTTGTTTTCTATTTATTGTACCAAAGACAGTGGTGGTCCAGTTGGGTGGGGGGAGACCCCCCTCACCCCAGGGCCCTAGGAGGGGTGGGGGCAGGTAGGGGGAGATGGCCTTGCTCCTCCTTGCTGTACCCCCCAGTAAAGAGCTTTCTCACATGCCCGCCTGAGCGTTTGCAGGCCCTTGGCTCCCCTCACCCCGCCCTCAGAGTCATGGGGAACGGTGTTTGGGGAAGGGGTGCTGGCAGAGCTTTGTGGTTGGGGTGAGGCCCCGGTCCCTGGGGGAGTTACAGCACAGATATGGGGTTGTAGGAGGCATGGGGCTGTGGAATCTTAGACATCGATCCTGGATGTGCTCCTAGCCTTCACTGGCCTTTTCTCGGATAAACTGAGACCTTGAAGGGTAAAGGGCCAGCTGTCTATGGGGAACATCAGATTCTGTCCTGATAAGCCAGGGTTTGCACAGAGTCTGCACAGGCGTGGCTCATTCTGCCAGGCGTTCAGAAGGTGCTGAGTGCATGTAGCAGGCCTTATTGGTGCCATCTGGGGGATGGCAGGCAGCAATGGGAACAGAATTTACATTCCCCCCCAGCCCCACCCCATTCACACACGCACACGTCTTGTCTCACTCTTTGGAATCAGTGCTGAGCAAAATGTTTTAGATTCTCAGGCAAAAAGAAATTACCGGGGTTCCAGGTAAGTGGGCCTGTTTCCATGGTAATTTGGGAAATTTCTGTCCCCCAGCCGGCCAATCAAGAGCCGCCAGGTTCAAAGGCTACTGGTGCGCAGCGCTTTCTGGGAAATGGCGTTCTTGGCACTCCTTTTTCCCGGTTTTCGTTGCTGAACTACAGAGCCCAGAGTTCTTTTCGCTCACGCGCTTAGCGGCTTCCCAGGCAGCCACCCGGCAGTCACAGACATCCAGGGCCCGGATGCTGGAGGCGGGCTGTAGAGGAGGAAAAGGCAGTGATTGGGTGGTTTAGGCCAGACTCTCCGGAGCTTTAGAGTTCTCCAGTGGGTTGCGCGCTGTGCTGGGAGAGCGTGCAAGTTAGGCGTTCGTCATCACGGAGCAGGAGGTAAGCGGGGAGGCCCGAAGTTGCCCCACAATATGGGGCATTGCTGGCCGCTCTGTTGGGTGCGGCTCGGGGGAAGCCCCAGTCGGTAGGAGAGACGGGCAAGAGCCTCGTTATGGATCTGAATGTGTTCTCTAACGGAAGCCACTTGGAAAGAAGAGAGAACCCGGCCCAGCACCGGTAGGGAAACCTTCCTGGGGGAGGAGGTGCTGTCTGAACTGAGACCTGAAGACAGAGGAATGTTTGGGGGTGGCGGTGGTGCGGCGGAATGGCTTGCGCGAAGGCGGTGAAAAACAGGTGTGTGAATGAACGCAGGTGGTTCGTGTTAGTGGAAATCTTATTGAAAAGGGCTGTGTGAATTAAGTCGTGGAGGATTTTGTTGGCTCTGTAGGGAACTTGGACTTTGTCCTGAGGGCAGTGGGGAACCTCGGGGTAATTTCCAGAAGGGAAGGGACCCAATTTGCTGCCAACTGCCAGAAGAGATTGACGGGAAAGACTAGGGTCTGGGAGCCCAGGATGGCAGCCGTGGTGTCCTAGGCAAAAGATGCCAGGGTTGTACCATGACAGGGCCCTTGGATGGGAGGGGAGGATGGATGTGGGTGGAGGAGACTTCCAGAAGGCTGAGTTCACAGGCTGTGTGGGAGAGAGATCTCTCTATCACTGTAGAACAGATTTCGGCATATCAAAAATGCTTTAAAAATATATATATATTTTGAATGAATTGCCGAAGGAAGGAAGTACTACTATGATCTCCCTTTTGCAAATGAGGTTACTGATGGTAGAAAAAACTGACTTCCCAAGATAGGGTTTCCCTGGGAGTTCAGCTGATAAAGAATCTACCTGCAATGTAGGAGACCCCGGTTCGATTCCTGGGTTGGGAAGTTCCCCTGGAGAAGGGATCAGCTACCCACTCCAGTATTCTCGGGCTTCCCCGTGGCTCAGACGGCAAAGAATCTGCCCGCAATGCGGGAGACCTGGCTTTGATCCCTGGGTTGGGAAGGAGGGCATGGCAACCTACTCCAGCATTGTTGCCAGGAGAATCCTCATGAACAGCGATATAGTCCATGGGGTCGCAAAGAGTTGGACACGACTGAGCAACTAAGGACAGCCCTAGATGACATGGCCAGGAAGCAGAGGGCTGAGGGTCTGTGAGCCACTGACTCGGCAAGGCGCACGATGAGCCTCAGGACATCACAGCAGTCAGACCATCTAAGTCCTGAAGGGAACCTGTGATGAGCATAGAAACCTACCCAGAACCTCTCCCCTGACCTGTTGACTGACTGCCAGCATACCTCCTCCTGAATATCTAAAGATGCTGAACTCCTGGTCTTTTCTCCAAAGCATATTTCTCCCACATTCTCATTAAATGTCAGCTCCATCCTTGTAGTTATTCAGATCAAAAGCTTTGGAGTTGTCCTCGACTCTCCTCTTTGTCTTATACCCTTGTCCCGTCTATCAGCAAATACCCTCAAAGTATATTCAGAACCTGACCATTTCTTCCCACCTTCACTCCTGTCACCCTGGCCCTGTCCACGCTCATCTCCTGCCTAGACCATCAGTGGTCTCCTTGCTCCCCATTGTCTGTTCCTCACTTGCAGCCAAAAGGACATTCTGAAAGCCTGCATCTGGTCCATCTGGTCACATCCCCCCTGCCCTCCCTTGATTCCATGTGGCTCCATCTCACAGAAGGTAGAAACCACATTCCTCTCTGTGGCCTGCAAGGCCCTGCATGATGTTACCCATCTGACATCATCCACTGCCCTCGGCTTGTTCCCTCTGCCCCAGGCACACTGGCCTCAGGACCTCTGTACTTGCTATTCTCTTTACCTTGAACCCTCTTCTCCCAGAGAGTCAAGGCTCACGTTCATCTCCTTTAGGTCTTTACTCAGATGTTACCTTCTTCTGGAGGTTTATCCTGACCACCCTTCTAGAACTGGATCACTGATACTCATATCTGTCCTCTTTAAGTTGTTTATTGTCTGTCCCCCCGATAGCAGACCATCAGGGCAGAAGCTTTTGTCTACTCCATGCTTTTTGTCCTAACACCTAGAAGAGCTCTTGACATGTAGTACAGACTCAGTAACTATCTACAGGATGAATGGACGGGTGATTTCATAGTAGTTACCGATCCCAGCATCCTAGGAACTCTGCTGATACCCTGTGCCCAGGGCTGCCTGAAAATTTGCTGAGGTCTCTGACATCCAAGGGACATTTCATCTTGCCTCTGCTTTGTGCTCAGAATTGAGAATGCCGCAGAGAACAAGAGTTTCCCTAGAGAACTCATAGTCTCAGGGGTGGAGGTTCAGATTGTTAATTTATCACACATGTATGAAATTACAAAGTAGAGTGTTGTGAGAACACTTGACAGGATGTCTAATCTGGACCCTAGAAAATGAGGTTTGAGATGATGAAGGAATATTAACTCAATCAAGTGTGTGTGTGCGAGACTTGGAATGTAGAGCCTGAGGGGGAGTAAGAGGCCAGACCATGTGGATCCTGTAAGGAGTTTGTGTCTTTACCCCAGGTGCACTGGGAGGTTGTAGAATTTTTGTTTTGGGTTTTGTTTTTTTTTCACACTGCGCCGGCTTGCAGGATCTGTTTCCTGACTAGGGATTGAACTTGCGCCCTCAGCAGTGAAAGCTTGAAGTCCTCATCACAACCACCAAGGAAGTCCTGGGAAGCTGTAGCATTTTAAACAGTGGAAGGAGGCATGATCGGTTACGTGTGTTGAAAACTCCCTTGGGCGTTGTGTGGGGAACTGGCTGTAGGGGATTGAGGACTGAAGTAGAGACACCTGTGAGGAAGCTGATTGCCTTGAAGTTAAAATGGCTGCTACTAAGGAAGACCGTGTGTTCTTCCCTGTTTCTCCTGTGAAGAGATGGAGTCTCCTCCTCCTGTTTAATCTGGGCTGGCCTGTGATTTGTTTTGATGAGCAGAATGCAGTGGAAGTGATGCTGTGCTGGTTGGGGGGTGCCTGGGCCTTAGGAAGTGGCAGCTTGTGCTTTTTACTCTCTTGGAGCCCTGGACCACCCGCTGGAGAGAAATGTGGAAAGAGGCAGGCCCAGTCAGCCCCCAGCTGATGTGCTACATCAGACATGAGTGGTGCCATCTTGGATAGTCTAGCCTAGCTCTCTGCTGACACCACATGGTGTAGAGATGAGCCATCCTGAGTCCCCTCGCCCCTCAGAGCCTTGTCCAAATTACAGAATCAGAAGCAAATAAATGGTTGCTATTTTAAGCCATGGTGTTTTGGGGACTTGTTACCTGACAATAGCTAACTGAAACTTTTTGAGATCTGACCATTTTATGTATTAGTAATAAGTGTAATGAGTAGTGTTAAGTTGCTCAGTCGTATCCAACTCTGTGACCCCATGGACTATAGCCCGTTAGGCTCCTCTGTCCATGGGATTCTCCAGGCAAGAATACTGGAGTGGGTTGCCATGCCCTCCTCCAGGGCATCTTCCCCACCCAGAGATCGAACCCAAATTTCCTGCATTGAGATCGAACCCAAATTTCCTGCATTGTTGGCAAATTCTTTACCATCTGAGTCACCAGTGAAGTCCATATTATGTATTAGCTCTTTTAACCCTCATTGTCACCCTGTGTGGTAGTATTATTGTCTTTATGTGTATTAGAAAACCAGGGCACAGAGAAGTTAGTGGAGGACTAGCAGGATACACACAGTGAGCGTGTCATAGCTATTACCAGCATCATGCTCACCAGAGTTAAAACCTCCATGATGGTTAAAGAAGGGGTCGTAAGAGGAATTAAAGCGTTAATTCGCCCACTTACTAGCGATATGATTTTAGGTAAGTGATTTCACCTTTCTGAGGCTCCATTTCTTCATAGTAAAGTGGAGATTATACTTGTCATCTCAGAAGGTTGCCATGAGGAGCACAGGGTCTGTCAGAGGGCAGACACCTAACCCACGGCAGGGAAGAGGATCACGGCTAAGCATGCACCCAGGTGGGCTGTGGCCGCAGGGTAAAGCCATTTTCTCAGAAAGCCTAGTGGAGAGACAGGTCCTCGGGGATGTTGTTGAAGTGCTGGATCAGGCCACATCTGAAATGAGTTACTTCAGGACTTTCTTATTAGGGGATCCAATAAAGCTTTTTTCTTTTTTTAAATCATTTAAACCAAGTTGATTAGGGCTTTCTGTTATTTGGAGCCAACGTCTGGATTTTGTCATTTGTTGATTCATCAGATACGCAATACTGTTTCGGGCATTGTTTTAGGTGCTGGTTTTATAATAGTAAATAAGACGCTCAAGACCCCTGTCCTCATTCTAACATTAACTTCTAGCGGGGAGAGGTAGATGATTTTAACAAAAGTTAGTGTTGGTGAAAGCCAGGGTAGGGGGGATAAAGAGCGACGAGCTGCTATTTTAGGTGGAGGGGTTAAATGAGCTCTCTCAGAAAATGCGATTGGAGGAGGGACCTGACCAAAAGGGAGGAAGCCAGCTGTGCGCCTGTTTTGAGGGAAAAAACAGCAAGTTCAGAGGTCCTGTGATGTGCTCAGCGTGTAGGAGCAGAAGGGGTGAACTGGAGCAGACCGAGCCAGCTAGGGGGGGCGGGCATGGGAAGGACTTGGTTTCATTCCCCCCCGAGGTGGGAAGCGGTCGGAACAGCCTGAGCTCCTCTGAGGAGTGACGTCATCTCATGTCCTCCTGGGGTTCCTCTGGCTGCCGTGGGGGCCCCTGGATGGAAGCAGGCCCCAGCGTGGAGGATGCGGCTCCAATCCAGCTGAGAGGCGGTGGCTCGGCCAGCGTGGTGGTGGTGGAAGTGGATTGGGGTGTGAGGTGGGGGGGGCGGTCAGTGACTGACAGGGTTTTTAGCCTGCGCAGAGTGCTGTCACTGTGTGAGGGAGCCCGTGGCGGGCACCCCAGCAGGTACAGGAGTCTGGCGTTCAGGGGCGCCGTCTGGGCTGGAGGCATAAACGTGGAGTGGTTGGCGAGTTCATGGTAGTACGGTCCAGGATGATTCATTAAGGGAGTGGGAGCAGGGAGCCTGTGCGGAGGGGACAGTGGCCTGGACGAGGGCGTGGGGAGGCCTGAGCCGTCGTCCGGATGCGTTTTGAAGGCAGACCCCACAGTGGGCTGGTTGTGGGTGATGACGGAGAAGAGAGTCAACAGGGGCAGCGACCCTGCTCCCCCCACCCCCGGCCCGTGGGCCCCGCTGCTTCTGTTTGCGGCCACTGGGCCGGCCCTGGGGGGCTCTTGCCCTGACTCCGTGGGGTCTCCCCACGCAGCACCCCACCGCCTTTCCATCCCATCACAAGTTCCCCCGACAGAAGTCAGAGTACCGGGGTCCAGTGTCCAACCCCCTCCACCCTCCGTGGACGGAGGACTCCTACAGTGAGGTCTGTCTGCTGGGACGGGCTGTGGACAGGGCCGTCACCCTAAATAGTCAGTGCTCATGACAGTTGGTGTATTGGAAGGTGGGGCGTCTCGCAGGCTCTGAACTCGAAGGGCTAAGGTGAGGTCTCAGGAAGTAAGGGGGACCCAGCACTGCCTCTGCCTCGCCTGGGACACCCGGCAATGACTGAGGCGGCCTCCAGGCTGTCTTCCCAGAGCACCCGTCCAGTGGGGAGACAGCCCTGACCACAGGGGGTCACTGCAGGAAGGGGGAGGCTTGGGGGCTGTGGGAGCCCAGTGAAGCACCTGACCTCGTTGAAGGTATCAGGGAGGGCTTCCTGGAGTCGAGAACCTGTGAGATGAAATCTGGAGTCAGATGGAGTCTGGGACGCAGGTGGTGACTATGTAGCCGAGTCAATAGATACTTAAACTTTTTTGAGTAGATTTACAGGAAAGTTGCAAAGATGATATAGAGACTTCCTCCCGCTTCCCCTCATGTTAGCATCTAACTTAGTTGCAGAACATTTGTTAAAACTAAGCAGTGAACACTAATTACTATTCTGCTAACAGACTTCACGACTTTAGTGGAAAAATGGGTGGAATGTGACTGACATTCTTCCGGTCCAGGACACCGTGTTGCATTTATTCATCTTATGTCCTCCAACCTGTGACGGTTTCTGTCTTTCCCTCCCATGGCCTTCCCGGTTAGCTATTGGGTAGGAGGCCCCTCAGTCTGGGGTCGTCTGATCTCCTCCTGGCTAGACCAGGATTGTAGGTTTGGGCAAAGAGGACCCCTCAGGTGATGGGAACCCGGATCACTACTTTTGGTGCTGGCTGCCAGGTTTCTCAACTGTACTCTTAGGGTTTTCCCTTTCCTTATGCCTTTTAGAAACTAGTCACAAAGTCCAGCCCATAAGCTCCAATTCCTTGAGGGAAAATACAGAGGATTTGCTTTCATATGTCAAAACCACCACAGTAATTGATAAACATGGGAAGACCCTTTGAGGCTGTTTCTCCTCAGCATTCCATCCACTCATTTGGTATTCCTCAGTGAAGCTCCCCAGCAGCAGTTATTACTGTGGTGTTCTAATGATGCTTTTCTGATTTCCTCTTTTCTTATTGGGAATTCTTCTGTAGGTAGGTTTGTCCCTTCTATCCCATTTATTTGTACAATCATATCAGTGCGGACTCATGGATATTTTATTCTTTGCGTCTAACCCAATACTATTGTAGTTAACTTTTTCACTCAACTTGTTCCAGTGTTGGCCACAGGGGCTCTTCCAGGTTGGTTCTGTATTCTTATTTTTTCCCTTGAGCACTTCCTTATTCTTCAGCACTTGTAAGATGTGCCTCAGCCCCTTTGCAGGCAGCCCTGGTTCCTTTAATGGAGAATGGTATCAGAAACCAAGAACTGGACACTGGGTGTGGTCACTGCACCTGAGGTCTCTCTCTTTCTAGTCTCTCAGCTGACAGAGCTGGGGAAGTGTGTATGTAGAAACCCATGTACACACACACATTGTATTTGTGTATATGTACAGATATCCGTGTATACAAATAAACCTATTTGAGTCCATAATGGTATCTCATCCAGTCTCCAGAGGGTTCCTTCTACCTTCTTGCCTTGTTTTCTTGTAGCTTCTCTCTCTGGCCATGAGAAACCTGGATCAGTTGCACTTTCTGGTATTCATCTTATGGGCCATCTTAGCGAATACGGCAGGCCATTCCGTTTCTGTAAGGACACCCTCTCCTTGGTTTTATGACAACACTGCCCCCTAGTTTTTCTCCTGTGTCTTGCTTCTTTGCGAGAAGTTCCTGTTTTCACTGACCCCTTAAATGGGAGGCTGGTGGGGGGCTCTTCTCTCCTCCCACCCTCTTGTGGTCTGTTTCTTGCCTCTGTACTGATGATGCCCACTCTCTGCCTTTAGCTCCGACTCCTCCCTGGGCCCCAGACCTGGGCGTCCTGGGGCCTCAAGAAGCCCCCTCCCCATCCTGCCCTCAGCCCCGGGCCCCTAATACTCACCATGTCCCAAACTGCAAACCTGCTCCTCCTCTTGGTCCTTCACAGGGGTGTCTCCACACGGCAGGCTCCCAGAGAGAGTTCTAGGCTTCATCCTTGATGCCTCCTCCCTCCCCACCCCCAACCTGCTTCCTCCCATCATCCTCCAGGGCTTGACCACTAGGCCTCCGGACTCGCCCACCCGCCCCTTCTCGTCTGTCATGGCTCTGCCTTGGTCCAGCTCTGTCCTCCCCCACCTCGTCTCTGCCCGGCCTCCTGTCTCCCCCTTTAACCCGCCTCCACTGGACAGCTGAGGGATCTTTGTGAAACCCAGGTCTTATCACGCCCTCTTGCTTGAAGTCCTTCCATATTTCTCCAGCATCCTCAGGACCGAATCCTCACTCCACAGACTGACACTGAAGATGTGTGTGACCTGGTCCCTGACTTGCTCCGCCTGTCTCCCTGACTGCCTGAGCCGCAGACACACTTCCTCTCTTCCCAGAGCTTGGCCCTCCCTCACCTGGGCCTCAGCGTGCACCCTCGCTCAGCCCCGTGAGCTTCAGTCCCGCCAGCCCTGTCCATTCCACATACACCACCCGCTTTCTTCCCACTCATAGTTAGAAACACTCCCAGACGTCATCCGTAAAGATGATGGACAGAATGTAAAACCAGTGGTCATATCTGCATGTTGGAAGTAGGGGAGAGGAGATTCACTTTAAAGTATTTTTTGGAACAAACACGTTTTTGTTGAATACTGACAGAACACACTAGTAGCTGTTGTGGGAGAAAGAGTTAACTAAACAAAAGACAATAATCACGTGTTTAAGAGGAAAAAAACCTTTCAGGAATCATTTGTATCACCTAAACAATTCCACCAGGGCAGGAAGAGAACAGAGGTGTGTCTGTAACCTCAGTCACCCCAGACTGACTGCTGAGTGCTTACAGGATTCCTTTCAAGGTCATATCAACTTAGGAAACCTTTCTACCGTGAAGTATTCAGTTATCATTATAAACAGAACTTAAGTCATTTAGACGGTGTTTCACAAGCCTTTGGAATAACTGATTTATAGAAAAGGGTTTTGTATGTGTAAGGGAAGGTTACTAAAGTATCAATACATTGGTGTTGGGAGAGTTCCTGACTTCCCCCTCTGATACCACAGACTATTGGGACAGTCAGTTCTGTAAAGGAACCATGGGTGCATCTGCCTTGAGACCTTCTGCGGTGTTACATCTGCCTGGCACGTGCTGGGATAACCACTGCCGGCGTTCGCATGCACTCCTTCAAGCCAGGCACTGGTCTGAGCCTTCTGTGTGCATTAATTCAGTAACAACCTAACACAGCCTTTAGGAGGCAGCTGCTGTTATCCCAGTTTTTCAGTGAGGCATTCAGATTTGAAATCGGTTGCTCCAGGTTGCATAGGTAGTGAGTGGCAACCCTGGGATCTGAACCCAAGAACACTATTGGTTTTACTGTCTGTGCCTTCAACCTTCTTCCTCTTGGGCTCCATTCTTAAGGAGATGCTCACACTCACAGTGGTGTTTTTTGTTTTGGGGGGGCGCCCTTGCCACACAGCTTATGGGCTCTTAAGTTCCCCGACCAGGGATTGAACCCATGCCCCCTGCAGTGGAGCTGTGGGGCCCAAACCACTGCACCACCAGGAAACTCCCCGAGATGCTCACACTTCTAATTCTGCAGTTTCTTCTTTTCAGAAGAAGAGCTTCAAAGACTTTCTTCTCCAGGTGCCAAGAATATTTTTTTCAACATCCCCAATTACTTGCAAAGAAAAACACTTAACTTTGTTTTGTTTTTTTAAGGGGAAACTTCAAACATGCGCCAAGGTGGAGAGAAAAGTCTAATGAGTGCCCATGCCCCCATCACCTAGCTTCAGCAGTTACCAGCACGTGGTCATTCTCGTTCCATCCACATCCTGCACATGTTCCCTCCCTGTTCAGTTAAAAAGCAAATTCAGGTGTTTTATCAAAAGACATGGCCTTCAAAGCAAAAGGGACCCAAGTTCCTTTCCCTAAGTCCTCCCCCTGGGGGACACTGACCACCTTCCCGAGCTCAGCTCCCCTCCCCCGGGCTTTCCAAATGCAGACATCTCTGCCGGGTGTGACACTATCCCATCCCTGGCTCTTCCCTGTAACCCGATCCCCCCAGGCATTTCTCCACATGGCCCTGAAGCCTGAAAACGATCCCTCTTAGTGACCGAGGAGGACGGCCGAGTTGCCTGGCAGCCCGTCCCCCGCAGCGGGGCATTTCACCTGCGTGTGGCTCTCTGCCGCAATAGTGGCCTCTTCCTTATTTGGGTTCGTTTCTGGCCGCCCTTCCACTCAAGCCAGGTCAGCCTCCCGTAACACCCCCTGCACACCGTCCCTTCACCTCAGCACAGTGTGTTTAAGACGGTTTAGAGGAAACAGGGATCTGGGCCCTTACTTTTAACTGCCTGGGGGCTCCATGACTCAGGTCTGTCTGTGTCCCTGCTGTGCCCCAGGATCACCCAGCACCCGGCCTGGTGCACAGCAAGCGCACAGTAACAGGAACGAATGAGTGGATGAATGAATGACTGCCAGGGTCAGTACCTGGGGTTTCTCATGAGGGCAGTGGGAAGCCACAGAAGTGTTTTAGGCAGAACTGGACCCATATTTCTCAAACTAATGTATATATAAGTCCCCTGGGATCATGTTAAAATGCAGATTCTGAATCAGTGGGTCTGGGGAGGGGGGACTGAGAATTCTGCATTTCTAACAAGCTCCCAAGTGAGGCCAGTGCTTTGAGTAACAAGGGTCTTGCTGTGCTGTTCTGCTCAGTAAGGCAGCCACCAGCCATGTGTGGTCGTGGAGGGTTTGAAATACGGCTTGTGTGGCCTGAGATGTACTTTAGTGTAAAATACTGGCCAGATCTCAGAGACTTAGT